CAGGATTTCACTTGAAGCATTTAGGCTCAAGCTCAGGGTTCCGCCAGGTCAGGACGATGGCCGGTGCATCAAAGATGAGGAAGCCTGCTGCAGCAGAGGCTCCTCGGGAGAAGGCCTTGCCTGAGCAAGGCAATCGACGTGCCGGCGGCTCGCCTGCAGAAGGCAGTTCGGCAGTAAAGGCTGAGCCACAAAGCCCAGCAAAGACCAAGCCGGTGAAGCTGGAAATCGTGAGCCCTAAGAAGCCGGAGGCCGCCAAAGCAGCTGACGGGAAGTTGCCGAAGATCGGGCAGAATGAAGCTAAAGCCATGAATCAAAAGCTCAAAGCTTTGAGCAAGGCTGGCAAAACCGCTTTGCCTGAGGCCTTTGCTAAGTGCAAGACGCAGCAAGAGAAGCGACAGTTCTACTACGATGTGTATTTGCTAGACCTTGAAGTCTCTGCGAAGAAGGTCCTGAAAAAGGACACCCAACAGGAGGAAGAGAGAGAGGACACCCAGAAGGGGTGGTTCACGGACGACGAGGTCGCAAGCTTTAAGGGGATCTTCCCTCACTCGAGTGATTACTCTAGCCTGAAGAAGGCTTGTGTTCAGGACTTGGTCCAGAGAGACCATGAGGATGAGAACTTGGCGAGGTTGGGCATCAAGCAGTACTACTTCGAGAACTCCAAGACTTTCGCCACCAACTCCAAGAAAGGAGAGCTGGAGCTGGAGGAGGGTGTGGACGACGTGAGCAAGGAGGATTTTGAGGAAATCCGCAAGAAGCTCAAGGGTGCGACCAGATTAGTGGCGGAAGGGCCATGCCTGCAGAAGGCAAAGACGTCGAGGTGGTGATCGACCATGAGCAGCACTACAAGGACCAGCAGAAAAAGCTGCAGTCCTTGTTGACCCAGATCTCGACGGAGATCTCCACAGGGGAAGTGCTGCAGCTGGCACTGCAGAAAAAGACGCACAAGATGGCCACGGTTGTGCTGGACCAGGTTGTACAGTGTGGAGTTAAACTCCTGTCCTGCAAGACATCATCCAGCTACAGCAAACCTACGAAGGCTCTGAAGGAAGCCCTGGGAAAGATCATTGAAACGTTTAAGCCTTTGAAGAAGGATCTCGGAGGGCACAAGAAGTGGGAGGCAGAGAATGCCTGAAAGTCAAAGCAGCTCAGTGGCGCAACAATCGCTGGCCTGCAAAAGGCCCTTTTGGCGCTTTTCGCAAAGCCCCAAAACTGGGGCATCTAGCTTTGACTCTGGACGAGTCTTGTCTGGCGGTGTGGAAAACCCGATGGATGACGGAAAGCGCCTTGCGCGCTTGGGAGTTGCTGGGGCGTTAGCCTGAATATAAAGGGGGGGGTGTGGGGGGGGGGTGCTGGGGCAGCCACCCGGATTTGCAGTATTTCGGGGCCCCCGTGGGCATGAGTGGGGTTGTGCGTGCTTCTTGGGCCCCTGTAAAGGTCCCTGGCGGAAAGTTGCGTGCAACATTGAAAGCATAGACGGTTTTTATCGCTATTTACAGTGTTTTTGGCTAATGTTGGACACCTCGCGGGGCGGCCCCCAGCCCCCGCAAGGCGAGCATCATCAGCATCAGCTGGGCAGTGTCGTCCACGTTCGTGCGCACGTCATGAACTTCAGCTGGCGCGCTTGGCGCCGGGGCCCAAAGCATCCTGAGCATCATTGGCGCTTCGTTTCTGCTGTGCTGGGGCGTTAGGCTTCGGGTGGGGGGGGGGGCTCTCAGGAATGAGGACTGGACAAGGGTACTGGGCATGGGTTCCCTATCGTAGTTCTGCCCAACCTTTGATGTATTCCTAGGACGCCAATGCTGGGGCCTTGGTCAAAATTCTGCGTAGCTTTCTCTCGAGAGAAACATGATGGCTGCGAAAGCATTGCTATACTTTTTAAGACGTCAGGAGAGGCTTGTGACAACCGATAGGGGCGCTGGACTAGCGGACAGAAGGCAAAAGAATGGCTTTAACCTTTATGTGGGCTTTTTGCTCTTACGTTTATTCAGTTGAGAATCCTTGATTTGAAGGTTTGGCTCCGCACAAGCGTTCCTTTTGGTAGGTTACTTCGCGGACGTCGTGTTCTTGAGACCAACTGCTTCGCATGACTGCTGCTGTTCGTGATGATCAGGACACAGAGATGCATACGCAAGTTTTGCATGGCAGTACCACGTCATCTTAGCCCAGGCAGAAACGGGGTAGCAAGCAGCCCAGTGCAACAGCATCAGCAGCAGCAGCATCTCAACTGCTGCAAGTGGGAAGTCTTCGGTGTCCAGCCCAGTCGAGTGTGACTGACCGCTACCTGCCGCAAGGCAGGACGGCGCCAAGAGCTTTGCAGGGTTTTTTTTCGAACTTGGGGCCTATCGTTTCGACGCGCGAAAGGTTCCTTATAGGGCTTGGGGCTTACCGGGGCATGCATCGGCTCCAACTATCAATCCCCAGCCGTTGCCTTCAACGGGCGACAGCTGCGTTAACCCAATGGGGCCCGTTTCGGTTCCAACATAATACTTTGCTTGCTTGCTGTCCATGATTGCAGAAGGGAAACACAGGATGATGGCTTGGGGTTCTGTTGCTCGCTGGAATGTGACGCAGGGCTTTTTGAGGTGCACTAAGCAGGCTTGCTTGGGGCATAGAGTGTTTAATGTGCATTTTCAGATCCTACCCCTGTCTGTGAAGTCGTGCTTCGCAGGTGTTGACTCTGCCCGCGCGCGGCGCTCACCAGCTCAGGCTTGTGTTTTTGTCCTTCGTCGGGCGACAGTTGCGTTAACCCAATGGGGCCCGTTTCGGTTCCAACATAATACTTTGCTTGCTTGCTATCCATGATAGCAGAATGGAAACACAGGATGATGGCTTGGGGTTCTGTTGCTCTGGGGACTGGTTCGCATTCTTTGGGCTCAAGTGAAAGCATCTTCGGCTCCTATTCCTGTCGGTGCTCGCTGTTCGCAGCAACCTTACTCCACAGGCATGCCTCTCTCTCTCTCTATCAGCCAAAGCAAGTGATCAACTTTATGGTCATCGCCAGCAAGTTGGAGGATTCCTGGCAGACAAAAACGCTCTGCCTCCGTCTGCTCCTCGCCGACGGCTCACAGTGCGAGGTGCAGTGCGTGAATGAGGCCTTTGTTCAGATGCGCGAGGTCCCCAAGTGGGTGGTTTTCTCTGCCGAGATCTCCAGATCAATGCTCAAGCCGTACACCGGTGCAGCCAAAACAGGCATTCCTTCCCAGACTTTCATTCGTTGCCAATACAAAATCACTTCGCTGAACAGGGCCATGGCGGGGTTTGCCGCAGACGTCGTCCTGGACCGGACCATGATCACTCCGGGCAACATCGAGCAACTGGCGGACGGAAGCATGTGCAACATTGCCGGTGTTGTCCACGAGCTGGGAGCGGTCCCCGGAACTGAGACAGTTGGCCTTCCGAAGCGGAACCTCACGCTGCAGCACGCCGACTATCACATTACGCTCAATCTCGTGGGAGATCTCTCCACCGTGGTTCTGGATCGTGGTGCTACCATTGCCATTTATTCGGTGCGGAAGGTGACGTGGGAGGGCCTCACAAGCCTCGAGAGTACCCGGCTCTCGTGGATCCTGCCGGCTCCGAAGTGGCTCAAAGTCGAGGCGGCCGAGGACCCCCAGTCTCCCCCGCGCAAAGCCCTCAAGATAGCCCCCCTGGAGTTGCACAGCATCGCAGCGTTGTCACAGACCGTCTCGGATGGAATCTATGCCGTGGAAGCAACGATGGTGCCCTTCACTACCGTGCTCTTCACGCAACCGCTCTTCACAGGCGATGACAAGCTACGACTGCCTGCTGTTTTGCAGGATCCGACAGGTACCCTGGATGTGTCCCTGTGGGGCGAGCGTGTGCGAGACTTCCTCTCCATTCCCTTGCTGGACTTGGAAACGCTTATTGCGCGGTGCGAGAACAACGTGGAGGCGCAGACGCAAGTGCTCGCAGCCTTGAATGAGCATGGGCAGCGCAACTTCCGCTGGACCCTGCGTCGCCGTGTGTGGACCTCGGACTCCAAAGCAACGGAACGGGTGCGCTGGAGCGTGCTGGACATCGCTGCTGAAACTGCATCTTAGCTTCAACACCTCGACAGAGGTAGCCGAGGACCAAGCTTGCGGACACTGGTAAGGGTGTCGTCGAGCTTGCGTCTGCAGGGCAACAGTTAAAGTCCCTGCCTTGTGTATCTGTACAACCAGCTATCCCAGCATTTCGAGCGTGTAAATCTTCTGCACTTGCACTGGGCGCGCCGCCGAGAATGCTATGCCAGTACATTTGACACATGTGCCAGCTCGAGTTGTTGCAACTTGCTGCGGTGTTGCCCGCTGACTTGCTTGCCAGGCACGCCTAAGACGGGCCAGGCACTCAGCTGGCGGCCCAACCAGTGCTTGGACATCGCTCTGGCTCAACAGACAGCTACAAATGCCGCGGCCAGGTGCACGGCCGTGCAACACGCTGCACGCCACGACGCCTGCCTGGCTTGAATACTTGTCGCGGTGTTGCCGCCCCCATCACTGCTGTCTTGCTCCTTGCCAGGACCACGCCTGAGCTGCGCCAGGCTCTTAGTGGGATTCCAACAGATGCTTGTGTATGACTCTGTCCGCAAATTCTCGCTGTACCCGCTGTCGCGTGCACAGCGCAACAGACAGCTACAAGCGCCGCTGCCAGGCGCGCAGCTGGGCTACATACTGCACGCCACTGAGCTAGACTCTCGAGGCTGGGGCAAGACACCTGCCTGGCTTGAGTACTTGCTGCAGATCTCGAAGATTCCTGTGTGCGCAGAGTCTCGCTGTTCCCAGAGTCTCGTGACTAGCGCAACAGATAGCTATACAAGCGCCTCTGCCCGTTGAACGACCGGGCTGCACACTGCGCATCGCTGCCGGCCTGGGAGAGGACACATGCCTGGACTGGGTCCCTGCGCGCGGCGCGGATGCAAGAAGCAGTCACGCGGCTCGCGCTGCAACAATCTGTGCTGGAAACATTTTCGGGAAGCCTTTCCGGAGGCTGGGCGTACCATGCAGCAGACAGTGCGCGCTAGCGCTACACATTGTCATGATTGTGGCCCTGGCATACTGGCGCAGAAGACCCATGCCCCAACCGGCCTGCGATACTGCAAACGATGCTACACCCTCCTGACAAATCCGACTTGCCTTTTGTGCAATGAGCCTGTCCATTCATCCACCCAGACGCTGGCGCCTGTTGTGTGTGCGGAGACAACCTGCTCACGCATTGTCCTTCTCTGCCAGTCTTGTGTAGCCTTGTCAACAGACCTGCCCTGTCATCTGTGTGCAGCACGACTCTATACAGGGAAATGCTGCCGCTGCAAACTCTCTCTGCCGCCTGTGGACGCAGCCTTGCGGGTCTGCCGCTCATGCACCAATGCTGCGCTTAGCAGTGTCCACTGCCAGTTCTGCGCGTCTTCTCTCGCGTCTTCCTTCCAGCCTTCGCCCTGTGAGTGCAGCACCTGCGCCGAGGCCGACAAAGCACTCGAGAGCTACACTTGCAATAGCTGCCACGCAGTCGTTGATGCTTACTTCTCCCCTGCTTGTGTGTGGCGTGAGAAACCCTCCTGGTACCGCAAGGGACGTTGCCTCCGCTGCCGGAACAAGGCCTCGTCCGTTTCTGCGTACTACTGCATCAACTGCTTCCGTACGGCCACACCCGATGGACGTACCCGGCAACTACGCATAGAAGCAGCCCTGATCCTTGAGAAGACTGCTGGTTGTGCCTCTCTTCCTACCAAGGCCCCGGCCATCCAACACCTACTGCGATGGCCGAGTTCCGCGACTCTAGAGATGCCAGACTACAAGCCGCGAGTCGAGCTCCTCTCCGGCAACCACTGTCGGCTCTGCTTTTCGTGCTTCCCTACCGAGGCATGCCCAACCGCATTGCACGAGCACTTGCAGAGTGCCCACGGTCTATCACCAAAACAATACCGGAAGCAGGTTCTGGACGAGGCAGCTCGGGGGCTGCGGCCTGTTCCTGCGCAACGGCTTCGCGCTCGCTTGGCAGCGTACCAGCAAGTGGTCAGCGGTGGCCGTGCTAACTGGACCGTCTGTGCTTCTTGTGCCCGAGCTAAGCCTCTTTGCAAGACCTCAAGGATTACGCTCGGATTACCAAAAACGTGCCCGGCATGGTTGAAGTGGTCGGACTCCGCTTGGGAACGGCATGGTGCAAATTGGTTCCAGGCGCTCGATTGTCTCTTCGACACTGCCACGTACTTCCACAAATATTTTGCCGGGCCGGACCGACTCACCACGGCTCAGGAAGAAGTCGATGCTGCCCTGGCCGCGTATGGCCTCGAATCGTTTGAGTACAAACATGCCTGCAAGTGGCTGCAGCGTGTCCAACTCTGGGCCAAAAACGTGCAGCGTGCGTTGGACGCGGATGCTGTGCCAGCTCCGCACAGATTCGGCGGCTACTGGATGCTGTATGCTCCACCCGGACGAGAGAATCCTCGAGTGCACATTCTGTGACAAGTGCAAAGACGCAATAGCGAAGTGTGACTCCAAGGGAAAACCTACACCTTCTTTGAGCGCCTATGCACGTGCGGAAGGCCTTTGGGCCGGCCCCGAGCCACAGGAACTCCAAGGGCTCAGTTGGGTCGGTAAGCGCATCTTACAACTCGGCCGTGCAGTTGTATGCATCAGGCATACTGCAAAGCGTTCCGCAGAAGCAAGCTACACCTCAGGTAACGTGCATGTGTTCCCACAGCGAGGTGGAGAAATTTCCCGGGCACTCGGACTGCTGCCGCAGGACTTGCCATGTGACATTGCTGTACAGTTCCCGCCAGGTTCTCCAAGCTCTGTCCAGGCTGACACAAACCTGAGAGTGGCTTTAGGTGACCTCCGCAACGCCCTCAACTGGTATTGCAGTCATAATTGGGAGTGGCTCGTCGCCACCCGTGCCGATGGCGAGGTCAGCTCTGAGCACTTAGGTTCGCGGTTGGAGAGTCTTCTGCAGGCTTACAAAACTGCAGGACTCTCTGAGAGTTCTTCGACACCTCCAGGACTACTCCAGACTGCTACCCAAGAATCTCCAGCGTCTGAGCAGGACGCTGCCAGCTCAGCGGTGATCGACGGACAAGTTGAAGATGCTACGCCCTTGGGACTGTGGACGGCTGCCATGAAGAAGTACAACGTCTTGCTCGCATGCGAAGAGGCCCTCGCAGCGGGCGCGAAAACTCCTCCCCTCCAGCAAGCTCGGAACAAAGCTCTCTGGGAGGCTGTCAAAGCACTGCAACGCCTTGCAAGTGACGAGGTCCGGATGCAACTCGACGACTTCGAGCGCTCACGGCAAAGCCAGACACTGACTTTGTGCCTGCCAACCGAAACTACCCTCCTTGACGACCGACAACCTGAATTTTGGTCGCATTGCTTTTGCGATCTCTTCTACCGTGCTGACTGCTGGGAACGACCTGCTGTTGCCAAGCAAAGACTACATGGCCGTAAATGGCTGCGTTGCCTCATGAAGCGCGTGGACTTCGTGGGATGGGCTACATCCCAGGAGCTGGCAGCGGTGGCCATGAATGTATTCATGCGTCGGGAACAAATGGCCGCAGTGCACAGCTGGCTGAGGCTTGAGAATGGTTTTCGTGCAAGACACTCTCAACACGCTCTCCACGGCCGATTTTGTCGCTGCTGCGCAGAGCGCCCAATGCAATGTGCGCAGCATGGCTGCGGCTCTCCAAAGTAAAGCCTTCTGCTCCAGTGGCCTGCATACACTTTTTCGGGAGATGACGATCGTTCTACAGGACGTGGATGGTACAGAAGCGCAGCGTGGAAGCTGGCTATACAAAATGCGCGCACTTCGGGTTTGGCACGGCTGCAGCTTCTTGTTTTTCACGCTCAACCCTAGCGACCACAAGAACCCGCTCTTCATGTCCTTCTTGGCTGTGCAGGACAAATCCCTGACCCGTGTTGACCTCGGCAGTTCCGATGACGCGCAACAAGACTTTGTATCCCGGCATGCCAGCCAAGATGCCTTCTTCTTCCGGACGCTGGCTGCAAAATATCCACGTGCTGCCATGCGATGCATTCGTTTTGTGATGGAGCGCACTATCGACACACTCATGTACTGCGCTGCGCCCGCCAACAAGAAACCTACGGTGCAGCATGTGGACCTCGTGGCAGCTAAAACCGAGCCAGGCGTGTGGCAGCACGTTTCAGCATACTTTGGGGTTGTCGAGACAACCAAAAGTATGCGGGAGCACCTGCACGTGCTGGTGCACTTGCTCGGGTTCTCTCATCCTTCCGAACTGCTACGAGGCAACTTTCGCAGCAACTTCCGCAGTGTCTGGCGCTACATCGCCAGCGTGTGCTTTCATTCTGAAGAAGCCTTCGCACGCTACTGCGGCACTGACGCCGGCCTCGAAGCTCTCCGTCGGCAGCCTCTTCTACCAGTCACCCACAAGCAAGCGGCACTGCTCGGACCACGCGCAGCCGAGGCCGTTCATGCACAGAAGACTGCACGCGGTGTTGCGTTGGAGTCAGTAAATGCCTCCGACATCCCGGATGGCCCTCACGAGACATGGCGCCCGTGGCCCGGGAGCTACTACGCGGACCTCCGGGTCTCACCGGAGCAGTGGGCGCGCCAAGCCGCGTGCCATGCCAATGCCGCTGCAATTCTCTTTGGAAACCATGTTTGCCTCCCTCATGTCTGCTACAAACGGAAGTCGAAGCGAAAAGCATTCTGCAGGATGCTTTACTGGCATTGGAAACTGAGCACAAACTCTGAAGGCCGTGTGACAGCTACGCGCGTGCATGGCCTGCCTTTGCAGCCTCCGCTGGATGTAGATGCCTGCCCCGTGCAAACCATGCAGCCGCACCAAGGACTGCCCGCACTCGAACGCTCACACCCTTTCCATTACAAAATGAGCCCTGGGCCGCTGCTAGGTCCGTCCTGCAATCATGACCTCAGCGTCCTCTTCCGCTTCGGCTCGACTGCCTTGCCTTCGGAAGATGACTGCGATGATTCTACTCAGAGCCAAGTCTTGTTGGATGACATGCTCCAGACAATCACCGACCACGAGTACTACACTGGAGGATATCTTGTCAAGGGCAACGACGCAGCGCAGGACCTCCTACACTGTCTGCATGATGCCAAGCAACAGCACGAGCGCCACAGCGCGGCCTCGGATGTTGCGAGTGTCGACAATGCCAAGACGCTCTTCCGCAGGCTAATCCTCGCCCTCAATAAACGCTACCGCGTGGGCTTCCAGACGGTGTATGCTTACCTCTTTGGTAAGCCTGCGTACTATACCTCCCACACATTTGTGCCCTTGTCTCTGACGGCCGTGCTGGCACGTTGTGAGGCCGCAATTGCAAAGGGATTCCGTGAGCCTTGGCCCAAAAATGCACAGGCTGACAACCCTTCCGAGTGCGCCGTGGAACCCCCCTGCAGCAGAGCACCTACATACACAGCCTATGACTACCAATGGCGCCCAAGTGCATTAGCAGACTTCCCATGGTATTTCTTTGCGGCTGGAACTGATGTATCCGCGGCAGCCGGACTTCACGCACTCCCCTGGCCGGTTCTGCACGATGCGCAGGGCCGCGCGCGGCACCATCCTGCATACGAGCGGCGACTACAGGACCACCGCTTTGTGGTGCGCAGTTCTACAGTTCGCACGCTTGGAGGTGAGCTGGAACCACTCTTGGATGACGCTGGACAGGTCCTTCGCTGGTACGATCACTACCGTACTCTACGTACTCACAAGGCTTGGAGGATTCCTGAAATACGTGGGTACGTTCCGCACGCTCCGGCTGCCCACGACAACGCGTGGCAAATATGCCTTGGCCGTTATGCTGCTCTTCCGACCCTGGCGACATGCTTTGCAGGCGGTGCAGGACTGGAGCGGTGTGTCCGCTTTTGCGGCGGCAACTTCCGAGGCGGGTGTTGCACTAACACGTTCCTGCAAATATACAAACATATATAGCGTGCTAGCGGGTTCCACTCTGCATGCTTTCTTGGTTCTACCCAACCCTCGAGCCCTACCTCCTGCCAGGACGTCTGGATGGCCTTGGACCACGAGTACCGTCGCTGGCGCCAGGAACTGCAACAAGCTTCGGAGGCATTGAGAGGCGGGGCAGCGCCCCTCTTCAACACTGCATCCTGGTGGACACTTATGGTGTGGGATAAGCTACGTAACTTCGAGCTTACCTGCCTGCGCAAGACCTACAAAGACACGAACCAGCCGCGAGATGACACTGGCCAGCGAATCCAAGAGGACGAGGACACGGACAACTCTGAACACGACTCCCAATGCGATCGGGCGAGCTCTGGATCGCGCCAAGGCGAGGATGGTCCCGAGGGCGCCCCAGACAATGTCCCCAACGCTCCGGTTTTCGCGCCCACTTCGGAAGAGGCCCGCAAGTGCGGTGACGTTGCAGCAACACGCCAATCGCACCTGGTATATGCCGAACCTGCTCTGGGAAAGCGCGGACTTGAGAAGCTCTATGCGCAGAACTTCCTCGACTGCGTTCTTGTTAAACATCTTGCCAGGAACAGTAACACCGCTAGTGCAGTGTATAGTTAATGTAAAGGAACAGCCGTCACGCACACGCGACGTGCAGGCTCGAGACTACCAGGACACACTCCGCAGTCCAGGAAAAGTGTCCGCCTTTGTGAGAGAGTAGGAAAGCTTAGTGAAGCCCGTTCTTTAACATGGTAGCGGAGCTGCCTCCAGGAACCTCCTTGGCAGCGATGATGCTACTCGTAGCAATAGGAACAATGATGCTCGCCGCCATGGCAGTTTGCCTCGTTGCTGGATGGAAGCAGATGCGCGCAAATGAGCAAGTGACCAAGAAGACAGAGACAGTGCTGACTATGCCCACGCTCAGGATCGCAGTCCGTTCAGGAACCAAGTACCACCGCAGAGGTTGTGGACACCTTCGGAACCACAACGTGACAGCAGGAAACGCTCGAGACTTCGACGCGTGCTCAGACTGCTACCCCGACAGAGTGCTGGTGGAAGAGAAGGAGTACAGGAACGTGAAGTGCTACGGTCTGGCAGCATGTGTTGTGCTGCTGGTTGGTTTCGCCCTGGGATGCCTCGCAACGTTGTGCGGGATGACCTTGAACCCAGGAACAAGAAGTGTGGTTGTGACACCGTGGCAGGCCCTTGGCTACAGCGAGAAGGTCAAGGAAGAACTTGCCCTTGGAGATGGCGTATCCTCCAGGGATGCGAGCCGTGGGAGAAAGGAATTTACGTACGTGGAGAGCGACGAGAGCGAGCTCATGGCCGTGTGGACGAGCAGAGCAAGGAAGCCCAATACGCACCAGACAAGCTACAGGAACTACGACGTGTACGGCGAGTACTACCAGGAAGGCTACAACGTGTGCAGCGTGAACCCCGACGGCACCAACGTGAACACGATCAGGAACACGAACGCGTACATGATTAAGGACTATGTGGAGATCGGAAAAGCAATGATACCGTACACCCTTTTGTGTGCGAGTCAAGTGATGCACGAGCTCTACAGCGTCGTTGGCGTGATCGGCGAGTACTACACGGAAGAGAACAGGAACGGCGACCAGAACACCGAGAATCAGGAGAGTGAGAGCCTTGAGTCAGGCTACGCCCCTAGGTACCTAGTAAAACAACAGCGAGAAGTACTGAGAAAGGTTGTACAGGAACATGTTCAGAGTTTCGTAGAAAAGCTAGCAAAAGTAGGAAAGAAGTTTCACGACGTCGTGCATGTGATAGTTCAGGAAGTCATTTCCAACAGAGTTGTATTTCAAGGAATTCGCATAGCAGTGTTCTTAGGAACCCCAGTGGGACTGATTACTTGGATCACCCTGTCGTACTATTCTACTTTGTTTTTCACAAGAGCAAGCAGAAGCTCAAAGAACCAAAGGAAAACAAGAGGAGAAAGGAGAGCACAAGCAGTGAACAGGAAGCAGTGCAAGTCACTACTTCTAGCAGCACTAGTGTACAGCAACCTTGAAGCAGCAAAAGGAATGGAGGATGCATTGAAGACACTTGCAGAGATCAATGCACAGACCTTACAAGGAATACAGACACTAGCAGAGGAGATCAGGTTTGAAGGTCCACTCGTGAATGGGCCGAGGGGCAGGGGTCGGGAACAGCATTTCGGGCTGTCTATGTCCACGCCCCCGGCTTGGGTCTCTTGTCGGCTTACATAACTGAGGCAATGGCTTCTGCAGCATTCTGATCTCGGGTGCTTAGCCCACTAGTGTTGACTACCATGCGACCTAACTCGGAAACAATCGGGCCGATCTTTTGGCAACACTCCGGAACATAAGTTCAGTCTTCTTGTCTCAGACATCACTGTGATGTCTCAGCATTCCGCACTCCTGGCATGGGATCACAATCAAAAACAGAGCGGGTTGAACGCAAAACGATGTACATTACATAATGCTTGCACTTCGACCTGCGGCATTGCACTCAAGCACTCAACCACGCTTGCACTGCTGCACCGCTGTGAATCTGACATAAAGCTGCAAATATTTTTGTCCATCGCAGTCGTTTCCTTTCCACTGTCCACTGAGAAACAAAGTCGAGAGAGATTTATATTGGCAGGTGAACCGGTCAAACTGCCCACTGTCCAGATTAGCAGTGACACAGACTAACACCAGCGAGGCAACAATGCGGGAACGATGTTGCCACGGCAGTCTGCGACAGTCTGCGGCATCCACCGCAACTGCCACTGCCACATCCGCTGCCGCTGCACTTTCAACAGAAGCCCTAGCCACAACAAGCCCATCTCTTTACTAGAGGGACACGCCTGATCTAAGCCTCAACTGTACTTTCTCTAACCACTGCAGCAAGACGCATCGGATGCCATGCGAAGTACAACAAAACTATGTGGTGTGATGGGAGTCGTTCTTGGCATGCACGAACCGCTCACTTCAACAAATGACTGCAATGTTTCGGATGATTGCCAGGATTCACCAAAAGCAGGTCGTCATTCTTTTCAACCTTGAGCGTGACGCCTTCATGGCCTTCTTGCTTTCTGAAGCACAATCCACCCAATGCCATTTGCGGTTGGACGGGCTGCTTCTTACCGGTCGTGGCCTTCTCATTTGGGAAGTACACGCGTGTGCAGATCAGCTCTCCTTGTGGCTGCACGGCCTCTTTCTCGATCAAGCTCAACAGCGCCTGCGAAACAAATGATGCAAAACACCGATGATGTTAACAATTGCTTTCACGCAACAACGAAAGCGCATCTCACTGATCGGCCATCGGACGAGCCTGTTCGCGAATCGCAATGAAAGGCATCCGCAGGTGAACAGTAATCTTGCCACCATGCCTCGGTTCATGTCTTCTCTGTCTTCTCATCCCTAACAACGACAATCAAACAAACATTGAGGCAATGGGAAAAACAGACAAGATACGCATCAGAACACTCCACGGTCTCCTCAACCTCCGAGCTCTCGAAAAGCGCTTTCTTTGCATCGGTGACAGGTTTGACAAACCATACCGGGCAAGGACACAGCGAAGTCAGCTTTTGGAAACCCTCTGCAGACATGAAGTAGTGCATTGTGATCCCGTCGCCGTCGCCAAAAGTTGCCGAAGCCACCTGCTCATGTATGCAAGCACAGATAACATCAATCATACGCTCCTGAGCCGCTAGTCACTAGTCACGGCCTTGACGGATTTGGGGCTTTGCTCTGTGCTGATGCTGCCAAATGCATAGATCCGCTCTCCTGCCAACTCTTTCGTGAGAGACGTCGCCGCTATGATGGCGCAGCTGCGGGAATCCGAAAACATTGCTCCCAGCAGCTTCTCGGATGATTTGCACCTGGGATGAAGCTGGGATGATGCACTTCGGGTTTTGGTAGGGAGTTAGGGGCAGTTAGGCGTTTAGTTGTTAATTAGGGCCTAGGGCCTAAGGCCTAAGGTTGCCCACAACCGAACCCAGGGATCTTTAGTGAGCAAGTTGAGCCGAGCCACCCTGCTCGCATGAGCAAAATGTTCTGAATCTGGGCTTGCACTGCAAGAACATCCAATGTGTGGATTGTACCCTGCTGAGCAGTCGCCGTGTAGATCGACTGGAAGTAAGGCACCGCTGGTTGGACCGTGTGCTCCTGTTGACCTTGCGCGGGCTGCCCGGAGGGGTTGACACCGCCGTCATTCTCCACCTTGACTTCGCCGGACTCCGCCGACGCAGCAGCTGCTGCTGCTGCTTCCTTGAAGAAGCTCTTGTTGATTACCATCTTGGTCGCAGGCAGCGTCTTGCCCAGCTCAATCGTCTCGTCCTTGTTTTTGTTGGTTTTCACATGTTTGTTGCGGGCAGCAAGGGCTCTCTCAAAGACTTCTGTCCACATCGCGGACCAAGTCTTCATGTCCGCATCGCCCGGACTCTGCAGCATGTAGCGGCACTCCAGCTCCAAGATGAAACCGTGAGCATCCGTGAATTCGCCGCTTTTGCACATGTAAACCAACAGATCATAGAGCCATTCTGCCTGCTCAGCATCCAAATCCTCGAATTCTACCAGTTTGGGTCTCTGCCCCGCCGCAGCGGCCTCAAGCTGAGGCTTGACAATCAAACCCAGCATCGTGGACAGCAGGTATTTCGCTCGCACAGTCAGCAAGCTCTCGACAAGGCTTCCATTCAAAGCCCACTTCGTTTCTCCACTGTCCTCGCCCTGCTTCTCCAAGAGAAAGCGGCCTTCCTTCGCGATGGCGTTCAGCAGCACGTCCTGCGGCACCGATCACATCTAACCTTGTTCACAACCGACTTCATGCAGGACTCCACACACAACAGTTCACGCGGGAGTCCACACACAACTACTGATGCTACTCGCTGTCACAAACTGCCGCATTGAAGCACTATTGTTTATTTTGAAAGCACGGGGTTCAATCGTTTCATAAATACGGACCCACTGCCCCGCACCAGAAAAACCCACTGATGCACAAATAGCACCAGGGCGCATCAGGAAACACCAGAGTCAAAATCACAGCACCTACGCCTACGTCACTATGTCAACGTGGATTCCATCTTTTTTGGCTGCGGGTCCTGTGCCTTCGAAGTTCGCGTGTCACTGCTGCTGCTAGCATCGCCCGTCGGCTCGCCCGACGCCTGGGCGCTTTCAACCTTTTCCTTTTCAGCTTGCTCTTGCACTTTCATGACCAACTGCAAACCTGCCGCGCCGATGGCAGAAGCTGACAGCGGTATCACCGCTTCCTGTTCCATCAAGGTGCTCAAGGCCCACGTCATGTCCGACAGAGTGTGTACACCTTCATGAAAGAGGCACGATCCTGCTTCCCGGTCCCAATCGTCTGCTTGACCGCAAGTGCACAAGCCAGACTTCAACTTGCTCATGGTGGCGAAAAACGCCGGCTGCTTGCGGATGTCCTTCTCGCGGTTGGTCATCAAGAAGGACATACATTCCTGGAGAGCCTTGGAATCTCGTAGTACAGCGGTGGCGCTTTGACCGGCGTCGTGTTTTGGCGTAGTGGAGAGAGATCGCAGAGAGGGCCCCTCTGCCGCTATGTCTTGGGCGAGCTTGCCCAAAATCTCCTCGGAGCTTGATCCTCCAGGCAAGGCGGACCGACCTCGCGACAGTGCAGCCAGGAAGAGGTTCTGGAGTGCTGGTCGAACCTCGGTTTATAAGGTTCAGGGTTCAGGCTCTTTTCAAACAGTAAACAATAAATCCATGTGTGCTCGAACTGATCTGCTGAACCGGGGTGCCTGAGACCAAACCTTCAATGGCTTTGCCTTTTGCAGCCGCACGGAACCGGTAAAGGCGAACTCAACGGCAAATGACAGAAGCATCGAAACCAATTGCCCCACAGCTTTGCTCGATGCAGCAGCTGCGAAAGGACCTGTCTGACAACGCTGCAGCGCTGCTAGGACATCATCCAACCAAAGCCGCTGTCTTGACCCCGCACGCAATCCTTGCTGCCCATCGGTTGCTTCGTCGCCAAGCGCGAACTCCACATCCGCCTGCAACGATTCCTGTGTTTCCTTCTCCAACGCATTGGTTGCATCTTTTCCCGACGCAGCCTTGGCTTTCGCCTTGGCCTTACCTTTTGCTCTGGATGCTTTCTTGGGCACCGCATCACTCAAATCCGGAACCCTGGGTCTCTTCTTGGGCGCTGCGTCGGCACTCTGAGGCTGCCCCTTCGTCGCCAGTTTTTTGACGAACACGGCCCCAGCTACCGGACAGCACAGCCGTTGTTGCGCCTCTGACACAGCTATTGACTCGGGGCCTTTGCTGAACAAGAACGGCGGCTGACGTCCTCCATCATCTCCCGAAAGCAGTGGGACCTAACCATCACAAATGTTTCGCACATCTAAAGACTTACACTGGACTCTAGAGCTGCAGCACTCGCAAATGACAGATAGATGCCGCTCTTCTATACTCTCAGGGCATGACACAGAACTTGGAGATTTCGAAAAAGACTTGACCAACCAACGCGGGAGGTTGGCCACTGAAGCGGGACTCCAACATGGTAGCGAAACTGTTCATAGTGGCAAGGGTGGTTTCTGCCTTCGGAAGCTCTTGATGCAAAAAATCTGCATGCTCGCCGTAGAAGTCATCGAAAGTCTGGAAAAGCCCCCACGCATTCAGCTTGTTGCGCAAAGCGCGAGACACTTTGAAAGAAGCAGCATCATATTTCTCCTGCAGAGACATCTTTTTCATTGCAACCAGTAGAACATGCACACGATGCCCGGCAATTTGCCCCTGCCCTCGCTTTGAACTCCTAGCCGCCTAAAAAACAGGGAGAGAAAACCATGTCGGAGCAAGACAGCACTCTGCACACCCACCATGTCTCCTTAAACTCCGACTGTTGCAACCACGAGTTGCGCTGCTCGTGGTAGTTGGAGTTTCTCGATGTGATTCGAGCCCGGTCTGCGTAGGCGTGAAAAGCCTGCAGCAAGCCCACGAGTCGTGCAAAGAAGCACCTCGAAACAAACTCACCTTCATACAACACCGTAGCAGTGACCTGGTCGACATCTGTGACGCCGCTGACCAGTTCGATGAAGCTGATGGAGCCGCCGTGGTGGAACTGATTGTTCAAATCTTTCAAGTACCTTGTGCTTTCCGGCCACAACGACACAAACACTAAACTTGACAAATGACTTGCTGAAGAGACTCGACTCAGACAGTAAAGGTGATGACAAAGGTGCGTGAGTATGTCATTCGGTGTTCTGCTCGCAAACACACGTGCTCTGATTCCGCTCTTGCGCGTAGCCACAACCTGCGGATTCTCGCTATGCTTCTCATCTGCCTCATAGAACGCTTCCGACCTTACTCGCGACAGCCATGCCTAAGAACTGGCCTCACTGGCCTCCCACGCATGCTGTGTTCCAAATGCTACTACCTGCCGAGGGCTCGGCAGCGTGCCAAACGTAATGGCCTGGTATGGCTGGCCCGGTTGCGCTGGCCTCGTCACATGACACAGCGATCTTGCTAAACAGCCTGTGCCGCAAGGACGCTACAGTCTACAGCTTATGAAGGAAAGGAACTCCACCAACCAGCACTCACCTCTGCATCCTTCGGCCACTCCGTATTCGAGGATAGCCCGGACATAAGACCGTCGAATGGATTGTTGCTTCCTCTGATTGCAAGCATGCCTGACAATATTCCGCGATTTGTCAGCCATGTACCAGTCAACTCGCACTCCACCTGCGGCCTTGGTCACCTGCGCAAAACCAAAGCCACGGAGATCAAACGAGCAATCTACAGGATGAAAAGTCAATGACAACTTCACATGAGACATCACAAGGAAACAACTGGAGCACTGTATGTGTCGCCCACCTCATACATTTCAAAAATCTTGGTCTGGAGCTCTTTGCCCGTGGCATCACCGAAACGCTCGTTGAGACTCCGCTTGCCCCAAATCGCATCACTTGCGGCTTCCAGCGCTCCCGGCGCTCCCGTCTCAAGCTTGCCCTTCGTATCCTTCGATGATGTTGACGTTGTCATGCACGCGATGCACTTGCACTGAACTGTACAACTACAACTGTACAACGAGATGCGGAGTGAATGCCGCAGGCCAGCTAACACACAGGAAAGTCGGCCGTCGCTGTCCCCGAACATTTCGAGCCATCGCAACGTGCAACAGTGCCGTCGCACAAGATCTCACACAGCCAACTCCCGCTTCACACAACCACACCGCACTCAACATGTTTTGCAACAGCACGCTGGTCAGATGGGCAGTGGACTTGGGCATACACCCCTCACGGCGCAAGTGCATGCTTCCTGCTCAATACCAAATGATCCTAACTGTTCAACTCCGCAACCGACTACAAAGCACAGGCTGCACCGGCTGCACTCACGAGGTTCGAATTTCCCGGCAGTGAGCATACCAATCATTTATTTGGTTTACTTTGTCGGTTGCTCGACTCCAAGGAACTCCATACAATACAGTACACAGTTTACCACTGATAACCCGACTCACTGAACCTTTCAACGCCTACGCCGAGTGTTGCAAGCAGTGACCCGTATGGCCCTGGCCCTCCGACTAAACACGCTGATCGGCACATCATCCTGCTCGTAGCCGCGCCGCAAGATTAAACAGTGATGAAGAGAGACTCCGTGGCCTCTGAAGCTTGACTTCTGCAGCGGCGTACAGCACTGCAATGGCCGCAATCATACAATGCATGCTGTTTCCTGCTTGTGCGGTCCGGGCTGTGCGTCCGGACCCAGTACTTCCAGAGCAAGCAAAACTACACAAAGGGACCCCATCACTCAACTCAACCGAAACAGGAAAAGCCTGAGCTCGCAAGGTTTCAGAAGCTGTCATCCACCGCCCGTGGCGGTCGGACCTGGGACATCGGATTAGCTGCATTGAGTTAAAGCTTTCGGTTTCAGATCTGCCCTGTCCCTTCTGCCCTCGACTCTCTCCCACCTCCCCTAACCCACAAACCGCGAACCAAAAGCGATCATCATGAGTGTCAGCTAGGGGTGGGGCGGGGAATGGCTGTTCTCCACACTTTGGGCTTGTTTGCGTGACTACCCGGTCCCCTCTACCCCCGCCACAAGACAATCGCAAGATTACTGCTGGCAGGGCGCCAAAGAATGCCGGTGTTGCGGATGATGGTGCGCAGATGTGTCTGCTGGCTTGCCGTCAAGCTCACTTCGGGATTCTGGTTCAGTGCAAAGACTTGGCCAGGTCGACTCGCCTGGTAGTGATCCAAGAAGCTGCTTTCGGCTGCTGTCAAAGCTGCAAGGAAAGCGGAACGAACAGCTTCTGGGTCCTTGAGCATGGCCTCTCTCAGCTCGACTGCTGAAGCAAAAGGGCACCCTGAATCTTTCGACAAGCTTTCGGGACGGCTGCATGCCCAGCACAGCTCCTCGAACAACTCGTCTGCGTCAGCATCAAAATACACAACCCAAGCAGGAACGTCATGAAAAATGTTGCTTGCATACGCTCCGAACCACATGTCACTCTGAAACATCTTCGCAAAGGCTGACCACGGCGATGCCCAGCATGATGTTTTATACTTGTGCCTCAGAATCGTCCATTTCCTTGGCCTTAGGACCGGGAAGCCGTACTGGTCGGGCGACAAAGATTCTACTGAGATGTGATACAGATGCCCGAGGTAGCGCTCAAGCAGATCCGTTTCGAAGTTGTCTACATTCTCCTGTATCACAACTGGCTCTTGCAAGACAATTCTCATGCCGCAGAAGGCTAAGAAGGGAACGAACGTTGTTCCCTCGGTTCCGAGCTGCAGCCCTCTGATCGAATAATCCGTGCACGGCGTGCCCCCGCAGTGGCATCGAGCCGTGTCGACCTGCACAAGCATACCGTGGCAGAGGCACGGCGCTGCTGCCAGCCAACGCACAAGTGGAATCACCCTACAGCGCAAGACCTACGAACAATGAGATATGACCGCTATATGCCAACCTACACTTACACAGCACCCGCCCCTGCCTGACACATCTTCTGGTGCTTCACGCAAAAAGCCTCCTTCCGCATGGCATTGCCAGACTTGATCAATGGCCACAAGACTGAGTGGATCTTCCCTTCGGCCACAATGCTGTCAAGCTTGGTCCGGAGGGTTGGCCGGAAGAAATCGTTGATGTCCCCGAACACATGCTCTGCGGCATGAGGGTGACGCAAAAGTTCTTGCTGGCAAGAAGCTTGCCACTCGACTGCAAAGGTGCTCCGCGGGCGCGGCAAATGGTCCGCGCTCAAATCCAAGCTCTGGCACAAACCCAAGCCCAGCGACAGGAAGGCTGTTGTTGGGGCATCTATACCGCTGAAGCTTGTGCTCATTGTGAACTCGGACAAAACGCCAAGCATACCTTGCAAGATCGCGGTGCGCTCTTCCTGGTTCTGCTCTGCTCGAGAGCTTGCCGGCGTTGTCTCGCAAACACCATCCGAGTTCCACTCGGTTCTCTGGCGCTTGCTTGCTCTCACGACAGCACCGGCAGCCTCAAAGTGAGCCTGGTCCCGTCCTTCAGCATCTTTCACGCTGCGACGAAACTGCACAAAGGCGTCCCACATACGTCTGGGCCAGGAGAACAGCAGCTTGACCGCATTCGCCTGGTGAGCCGGGCTCCAGTTTGTAACAGAAGCTTCTGCTGAGCTAGCAGGCGCAGCCGGTTTGGCTGCACTCTTCACAGCTGTGGCCTTTTCTTTCTTGTAGCTCTTGGGAGGCGTTTTCACGCGCAGCCTCCTAGTTGGGGGGCTGTCGCGGCCCCTCGGCACCTCATGCTCATGGACCTCGTCTTTGACCTCGTCCATGCTGATCCATACTGCATCTATTCTACGTGACACAGCTTGAAACAAGCCTGCGAACCAACCAATCCAAAATACTTTTGATGGCAGCATGACTGTCTGGAGACTCAACAAAAGCGGTGTGTGCATGCATCGATCCTGCTGCAAAGTGGAATGGAATTAGGCGCAATAAGCACATGCCGGTGTTGCTGAGGTTGCTGGGCACACATCGCCGACCTCAAGTCTGTTCAATCGGGATAAACAATGCAGCAGCAGCAGCAGCAGCATCAGCCGCAGCAGCAGCAGCAGCAGCAGCAGTAGTAGTAGCAGCAGCAGCAGCAGCAGTAGCAGTAGCAGTAGCAGTAGCAGTAGCAGTAGCGGTAGCAGTAGGAGTAGTAGTAGCAGTAGTAGTAGTAGTAGTAGTAGTAGTAGTAGTAGTAGTAGTAGTAGTAGTAGTAGTAGTAGTAGTAGTAGTATAGTAGTAGTAATAATAGTAGTAGTAATAATAATAGTAGCAGTAGTAGTAGTAGTAGTGGTAGTGGTAGTGGTAGTGGTAGTGGTAGTGGTAGTGGTAGTAGTAGTGGTAGTAGTAGTAGTAGTAGTAGTAGTAGACTAGAATGGCACCAGCAACATTCACAGCAAAACCAAAGAACACCGGGGGCAACAACAACAACATCTAACAACATCATCACCAGCAGTGGCGCAACGGCCGCCCACTCCCACTGGTGGCTCGAGATCAAAATCCCTGCATCCAGTAACCCAGAGACTCCAATATACCTTGATTAAGGAATCTTCTTTAAATTATGGTAGGATCCCTTATATGATTTAAGGTGTATATTCCTTAATTAAGGCATATTGGAGTCTCTGGGAACTCCTTAACAAGCCCTGCACAAGCCAACACTTCATGTCAAAGTGCGCGGTGAGCCCCGGGGTCCCAAACCCCAAACCTCGGAACCTGAAAGCAATGGCAAACAATCAAAAGGCTAGAGTCAAGCGCTTCGACTGATATCAATGATGCTTAGCTTACAATCTAAGATGCATTAGAAGTTGCCCCCACCCTGTAATAGTGACTATAAGGATTATATAGGGCCCTATTATATATTCTATTATACCACTATTATGGGGCGGGGGCCCCTTCTAAAAGATGCACATGATCTTACTTGAAAGGTATCAGGCTCGAAGGCTTGATGCGAAACTTCTGAGACAGCAGCGACCAGCCTGTGAACTTGAAAGGTATCAATTTCGAAGGCTTGATGATAACCTTCTGAGACAGCAGCGACCAGCCTGTGAACTCATCCATAGATCCTGCAAATTGTTAACTAAAACCTTGTTCCTCCAATGTGTTGTTGTTGTTGTTGCTGCTGTTGTGGTCTCTCTTCTCGTGGCTACGTTTTGGGAACGCCTGTTGTTGTTGTTGTTGTTGCTGCTGTTGTGGTCTCTCTTCTCGTGGCTCCGTTTTGGGAACGCCTGTTGTTGTTGTTGTTGTGGTCTCTCTTCTCGTGGCTCCGTTTTGGGTACGCCTGTTGTTGTTGTTGTTGTTGTTGTTGGCGGTGGTGCTGTTGTCGGTGCTGCCGCTATGCATCAATTCTATTTTTGTGTGTGTTTCTTGTGGTGGACGAAGCCGTCCGACGTGGACGGGGTTTGTTCGCGAGTGCTGGCGTGGACGGAATCGGTCGGGTTCATGAGGTCGGTTTTCAGACCTGCGAAAGGTGCAAAAATTTATGATGCGCGCGCGCGCGCGCGCGCGCGCGCATCATAAATTTTTGCACCTTTTGCACCTGTCCCGTGGGGCGTGGATCCTAGTCCTAGTCCACGCTCTGTCGGGGGACGGGGTTCGTCCGCGGGTGCGGGTTCTGGGTGGACCGTGGACGGGGTTTGTCCGCGGCCCAGGGGCGTGGACGGACTCCGTCCACACCCTGTCGGGGTGTGGTCCACGGGTCCAGGGGTTCTGGGTGGACCGTGGACGGGGTTCGTCCGCGGGCCCAGGGCGTGGACGGACCCTCCGTCCACGCTCTGTCGGGGCGTGGACGGGGTTCGCCCGCGGGCCCAGGGGCGTGGACGGACTCCGTCCGCGCTCTGTCGGGGGGTGGACGGGGTTCGTCCGCGGGCCCAGGGGCGTGGACGGACTCCGTCCGCGCTCTGTCGGGGCGTGGACGGGGTTCGTCCGCGGGCCCAGGGGCGTGGACGGACTCCGTCCCCGCTCTGGGGCGCGTGGACGGACTCCGTCCCCGCTCTGTCGGGGCGTGGACGGGGTTCGTCCGCGGGCCCGTGGCGTGGACGGACTCCGTCCGCGCTCTGTCGGGGCGTGGACGGGGTTCGTCCGCGGGCCCAGGGGTCGCGGACGGACTCCGTCGGCGCTGTGTCGGGGTGTGGACGGGGTTCGTCCGCGGGTCCGGGGCGTGGACGAACTTCGTCCGCGCTCTGTCGAGGCGTGGACGGGGTTCTCCCGCACAGGAAGGCGTGGGCGCGGAATGAAATATAATTGCTGTTTACACATAGAGCGTCGTCGTCGTCACCGTCGTCGTTGCTGTTGTGTTGTTGTTGTTGTTGTTGTTGTTGTTGTTGTTGTTGTTGTTGTTGTTGTTGTTGTTGTTGTTGTTGTTGTTGTTGTTGTTGTTGTTGTTGTTGTGGTCTCTCTTCTCGTGGCTCCGTTTTGGGAACGCCTGTTGTGGTTGTTGTTGCTGCTGCTGTTGTTGTTGTTGTTGCTGTGGTGGTTGTCGTTGTTGTCGTTGTCGTCGTTGTTGTCGTTGTTGTCGTTGTTGTCGTTGTTGTCGTTGTTGTTGTTGTTGTTGTTGTTGTTGTTGTTGTTGTTGTTGTTGTTGTTGTTGTTGTTGTTGTTGTTGTTGTTGTTGTTGTTGTTGTTGTTGTTGTTGTTGTTGTTGGTTGTTGTTGTCGTTGTTGTTGTCGTTGTCGTTGTTGGTGCTGTCGGTGCTGGTCGTGGTGGTGGTGGTGGTGGTGGTGGTGGTGGTGGTGGCGGCGGTGGCGGTGGTGGTGGTGGTGGCGGTGGTGGTGGTGGTGGTCGTCCGGTGGCGGTGGTGGTGGTGGTGGTGGTGGCGGTGGTGGTGGTGGTGGCGGTGGCGGCGGTGGCGGTGGTGTTGTTGCTGCTGCTGCTGTTGTTGTCGCTGCTGTTGTAGCTAGTTGTTGTTAGTAGCGGTAGTGGCGGCGGTAGTGGCGGTGATGATGGCAGCGGCTGCAGTGACGTGGTGGTGCGGGTGGGGTGGCGGAATGCTGCTGCTGCTGCTGTTGCTGCTTCTACTGATTGCCGCTGTCCACACGACGGCTGTTGCTGCCGGTTCTTTTTATTGTTGTCGTTGTTGATGCTGTTGGTGTTGTTGCTGCTGTTGCTGTTGTTGCTCTCGTGATTGCGGTTGCGGTTGCGGTGGTGAGTGAGGCTGCGACTGCGGCTGCGGCCGTGTTAGTGGTGGTGGCGCTAGTGGGCGTTAGTGGGGCGTGGTGGTGACTTTGCTTTCTACACTGCGGTTTCGCACTCTCAAGCATTGTTAATTAGCACTCCCGACCTCAACATCCACAATGTATACATGCACCTGGAGCTTGCTGCCAACTTCGAATGCGCAACTCGAGCACCGACGCTCCACCGCAAGCTTGACCAATCCCCAACCGCGACACCCAGACTACGCAAGGTTTCTGAAAGCATGTCTTTTGGTGAAGCCACAAAGAAAAGTCCTCGAACCCATTCATCCTGCCGGCATCGCCGCTGCCACGACGATTTTCAGGAAAGCCTGGGCGACGGGCAAAGGAAGCATTGGTACTAAGCCTGATTGGTCAGCTTTTGTTGAGCCAAGCTTGTTCACGCCTTTTTGAGTGGGCAGCTAGCGCTTCAAAAGGTCGGGTTTTGCCAGATCCTGTTCAAGTTCGCGGGAGGTGCCCGAGAGCATGGAAATTCTTCCGCAGCATCCAGCGTCAGCGCTGTGTCTTCAACTCCAAAGACGAAAACCCTTCCGAGCCCGAAGCACCAGAGGCACTTGGGGCCTTGGTCAGTTTCGATGGCAGTGGCGACGACGAAGAAACTGCCGGCTTCGATGGCAGTGGTGACGACGAAGAAACTGCCGAAGCCGCCGACAGCGCGGCAGATGTCGTGTCTCCGCGCTGTTTTCCTGCGCAGAAGCTGCAAAGTTCTTTTATGTAGCGTGAGTCCGCAAAACACACAGCTGACACGACTCACGGCGCCGTGCAAACACTAGCAATATTGCAAGCCTCCCGTCGAAACTTCCCTCTGGCGCGTCTCGCCGGGAACATCGGGCTCGTCGGTGTCGAAAACCTTGTCGAAATCAAATTCCGAGTCGGAGCTGAAGTTATCACGGCACCTCCTTGCCCGCTTTGCACCTGGGAGGGAACGCACCAGGCTAGAGCTTTGATTATAGGGAGTCTAAAGCTCAGGGCGTCGGGCTAAGTCCTCACTGATTAAGGTGCGGACTTTTGGGGGGATCAGAAGCCGCAACAGGAAAGACCTTGTCAAGCTCAAACTCGGAGTCGGAGCTGAAGTGGTCACGGCACCTCTTCGCACCTGGCAGGTGGACACATGGGGGTGGAGGAGGGTCTACGAGTTTATGGGGTACAGGGCCAAGGTATCAAGCTACCGCCGCCACAGTCCGTAGATTAACGCTTTGAAAATTGTGAACATCCTACCGAATCCGCTTAGAAACCTGTGAGCCCTTGAACTGCAATAAAGGACGGCGATTGCAAAGGAGTATGGGAGGCTTGCTTTGGGGTGACACAGCTCCTATATACGCTTGGAACATTCAAAAAGAACCGACAAACCATCCAGACCCAGGCCCAAGCCCAAACCCCAAACTAGTCTCCGGGCCTTCAACTCTGAACGCTCACCAAGCAGAAGTCCTTACTTATGACAAGACATGAAAACCTGCGACGATTGGCAGCGCACCTAAACCGTAAAGTCTTACGCAAAACCCCAAACTACGAGTTTTAGAATTGGGAACCTAAGTCACTCAGGCACCTGGACGGTTCCCGGCCATCTGCGCACAAAGGCAGGCAGCAAACTACCGTAACTACCGCTATTAGCAAAAACTAAGACTACACAGCCTGCAAGCAGCCAAAACACCATCGTTCAGTTCTCACTCAAGCTTGATTCATCGCCGACAAATTGCAATGCTGCTGTCTCCACACAAGGCCTCTGACCCGTCTGACCCCTTGCAACACTAGCAGCCTACAGACCTGACCTGCAGGCGTGCACTTCGTAACTGGGGCACCAGCCGCCTGAGCTCCAACAGGAGCCCTTGACACAGCTCACACGGCAGATGTGTCCTCACAGTGTGTCTAGCGACAGCCGTTACACAGCGCAGCATTGCACTACCAAAGCTGTGTGCGACAATCGAAGAGATGCCAAACGACCGTCAGTGTATAAAGCAGTATAATTAAAGTCTCAAGTCTACCGCTCTGTTCACACAGTTCGCAAATTGCAGGAATCTGTCCTGTTGCAGTTGGCGGGGGCATCTGCAGAAGATGATGAAGCAAGGTTCGAATGCGTGTCCAGGAACACATGCATCCATGGCGGTAATTCACGGAATGCTCTGGCATGCTCTGCAGACAGTACATCAAGCGCTGCTCTGCTAACATGAGGAAACATTGACGAAGCGCACCCTGGATGCCAGATTTGAAAGCAGACTGGGCAAGCATGACTTCCGCAGGGCTGCCGGCACTTCACACATTTGGCGAACTCATTGGATGCCCGCGGCGGCACTGACTCATCGAGATCCTGAGACCCGTGGAGGAAGGCTTGAAACAAGCGACTCTCATCGGCAACTTCATAAGGGTTCGAAACTAGACGTGGGTCAAGTGAGGCCGGCTTGGCTGGTGGGAGTAGTTCAATAGTTCAACAACACAGCTATAATTAATAGTATTGAAAATGAAACTGTTCTGGATGTTACCGAGGTGCTTGATTTGCGTAGCTGCAGATCAAGCGACAGAAAGCCACAAATCTGATCACATGCTCTGGAAAAGAATCTCGGCACTGTCCCCTGTAACGGCGAGACTGCGCGCCGCTTGCGTGCAACAAATCAGTGTACTCGTCCATTGAGAAAGATTGCGTCGGCACTGGTTTGCCGAAGAGCTGAGCGGGAGCCCAGACCACACGCATCTTCGCATCTATGCGAGCAGTTCGGCCCTCTCTTTTGAGAGGATCCGTCCATTTCACGCACACAATCTCAATTGCCGAATCTTGGCCGTGTGTGCTTGCAGCGTCAGCACTAAATGACTGCGCCAGCATGTCGCACGGACGTGTGGCTAGCAAGGATACCTCCTCGTTGTGTCCCAAGCCGCACTGCATTCTTCGGCTCCTGTCCAGAATGCTTGCGAGTGTGGCTGAGAAGGATTTTGCCCACAGTGTAGCTGCTCGCTGCGTTGTTTTGAGTTGGCGCCTCTCCAGCGCAGCCTCGATTTTCACAGGATTGGAAGAAACCTCCGATGTTGCCGCGAGCACAGCGACAGGCTGTGCCATGCTGGCATCGGCTTCTTCAGTGTCCGATCCATCTGCACCTGCATCCTCTGCGTCCGGGTCCCCTGAGCCAAGGATACGCTGAAGAAACGATTGATCGTCTTCAAAGCAAGCGTACTGCTGCTTGCGCTCAGGTGGGGTGACTAACAGCTGCTGCAGCTCGTCGGCCTGACCTGACGCAGGGGGCTTGGCGGGCTTGTCCTGTGCAGCGCGCACCAGCATCAATACTGCTTCTTCTTCCAGTTCATCGCGAGACAAACCGTGGTGGGAGTGCATATTCTCCACGAGCTGCACCGCTTCATCAAGCAGGGAGATATCTGTGCACTGCACGCCAATGGAAGGTGCTGTCCCTGACGACTGTGCGTCGGGTTTTTTCTTGCCAGAAACTGCTTTTCGAATGCGAGCAGCTTTTTCCGCCTCGATGAGCTCTGTTCCCAGCTCCTCGTCCATCTTGGCTGCTTCTGCGTTGGAATTTTCAACGTCCTCAGCAAAGCCGTAGCCGGAGTTCAACAAATCACTGTCACTATCAGTCGGGCCTGCAGCATCTGCAATGGCCTCTGACACGGCTGCCTTGGGCGCTGCAGTGGCTTTCTCAACTTTTTCCATCTTGATGTAGGTGATGGCTTCCTGCCCGAGCGGAGATGCCGTGGTTGAGCTCAGGCCGATCAGGCCAGCAGCAGACCCAACATTCACGCTCTGCTCATCCAAGCACATCAAGCGTGCACCATCCACATGCATTGCGCTCATGCAGAAAACTTCGAAAGTTTGGGGCGCCACGGGGTCAAAGCAGCCAGAGTGAAGGCCAGTCAGCAGTTCCACGGTAGTGAAGATCTCCTTTCTGAGCAAGGTGCGGTTGCATCTTCGTGGATTCGTGGGGCATGGGGCTTCCGTTCTACGAGTGTTTCTTTAGTCCTTTTTGGCAAAAGACTTAAACACTACCCTAGCCACTGCCTAACCACCGACACGGAACTGATGGATCAATTGTTCCTACGCCAAGTCGCCGTCCCACTGCGCTGCGGCAAACGCAAAGAACCATCTGCTTCACACTTGAGGCGAACAACCAACAGCAGCGAGCGGTACGTCAACAGCTGCAAGTAAAAGTCTTGATTTTGGCGGTCTGAAGCACGTCTTATACAGAAGACTGTCAAGCACGCCGGCCGCAAAGGCGCAAAAGCCTTCAATCTAGCTGACTCGCGGCGCGCTGCTTCGATGGATGCTTTGAGCTTTGTAGCTTGCGATGACACCCACTGCTTCTGGGGAGTGCGCCGCATGTCCGGCAAAGCCCTTGACAAGTCCGTGTTCTGGAGCGTAGATTCGAGAGCAGGCATGTTTGTTCGCATCGGCTGGCTGAATCGCTTAACGTTGTCCAACGTCTGTTTGTACGCAGTCCCTGCTAGACTAAGCTCCATGAGCAAAGGCTTCGCGTGCGATGACACCACAGACCATCGCTTGTTGGCATAGCCTTTGCCTTTGCCAGACGCAGGCAACTCAGGTGTCAACGCTTTCTTCACAGTAATACGTGCAGAAAGGGTTTCCAAATCAATGGAAGGACATCTTGTGCTGATGAGGCGGATAATCGAGTTTATGGATTCGACAAGTTGGGTGTCGCCTTTCAACAGTTCGGACATAGTCGAAATGACTGCATAAAGCCTGGAACCTTGTTCGCTGGCGCTTTGATCAAACCGGCCTTCCTCTGCGACGAATCGGAGCTCGGACAAATAAAGAAACTTGAGCTTGCGACAGTTTGACTCCAATAGCTCAGAGGCGGAATCCAAAATCTCTTTCGCGATCCGCTGCCTGTCCGAGCAGCGGGAGAAAGGAGCCCGCTTCAGCATCCAAAACAACTTGTAAGGGTACCTGGCGACAGCAAACTCATAAGATTGGAAGATGGTTTCAGGCGGCTTCAGCTGATATAAACACATTAGGATGAAAGCCGAGTGGGGCAATTGCCGACTAGCCTGGCTGATGTCACATGATCTGTCACACGTCTACAAACATTCAGCATCATGCGCCTCTGCATTTGTGTCGTCACCCGCATGGAAAAGCTTGCCGAAGCATGAACCACAAGTTTGAAGGCCAAAGTCCGTGCCAAGTTCATCAATTCGGCTGGCAATCCTTCCGCACCTGCGTCCTTCACAGCAGCGGCAAACCAAGCGGAAAACGTCTGTATCAGTTTGTCGAACTCCTCCTGGAACTCTTGCGCTCGGCCAGTGACTAGCTGCTGAATGAGACGCTTGTCGGAATTCTTCTGAGCCCACGCAAAAAATTTCGACAACGGAGATCGGGCCTGACTGCCAACATGCAAGAAAAGCCAAAACAGCGGGCTCTTGATGGTCTTCAGCGCCCCATCCGCCCACTTGCTCAGTTTCAAGCGGTAAGCTTCTCGCTCTTCTGCCTGATCCAGAAGATCGGGACCGCGCTTCTGTTGCTGGTCGGGCGCGTCGGCCGAAGATCCAGCTGCGGCAGCAGCCCCATCTTCCTTCGATTCCTTCGCCGTCTTCTTCGGCTTCTTTTTTGCACCGGCGGCCTTCATATATTTGGAGAGAACTGAAAGGAACACTGGCTCGAGAAGTTGCCTGGACCGTTCTACAAAGAAGGATTCGCAGCTCTCGATACTTCCCCATCTGCCTGAAATGACTTGCAGCGGAAAGCGCCTGTAGGCAACAGGCTCTGGCTTGGTTCTGTTGCTGGCTTTGCTCGGCCCATGAATGGCCTCCCATGAATCAATAAAATCCGACACGTGCGTTCGCCAGAAATTCGCACACTTCGCCAGATTGGAGGTGTAGGCTTCGAAACCCTGACTGAAGCAGGCAGGCAGCGAGCCCAGAAAATTATCCAGGATCTGCAGGTTATCCTTGACCATCAAATGAAATTGATGGAGGGCACAGTTCACATCAATGTAGAAGAAGCCGTTGAGATCAGCCACAGCCGACATCATGTGCCGACGGCGTGCCGCCTGGTCCGCACCGGCGTCTGTGGTGTCTGCCATGACAAACACGGACGCAAGAGGATCAATTCGTCCTTCCCTGAGTTGCCAACAACTTAACGGGGCTAACAGGGTTGGTTGTTGGCCCAACAACCAACCCTGTTAGCCCTTTTAAGTTTGGGTTTGGGTTTCTGGCTTCTGATTATGTTGGAGCTCACAAGCAAGAGTGCAACGAACCTGCACGCAGCTCTTCACGCAGAACGACAACGTCGACGGCAGCGACGACGACAAGGGACAAAGACAGGAACTCGGACAAAGTAAGCGGACAGACAGGGACAAGGACGAAGACAACACCAAGAACACCAAGAACAGCAACAACAACAACAACAACAACCACAACGACGACGACGACCCCGACAACGACCATGACTCCGACAACGACGCCGACGGCCGACAACGACGGCAAACAAAAACAATAACAAGAACTCAAGAACAGTAGACATCAGAAGAGCAACGTCATGTCAACGTCAACAGCAACAACAACATCAAAAGCAAGCAGCCGCAACACGGGCACGGGGTGCACATTCTACGTGATCGAATACGGTCCTCTGCAACCTTGCGATGTCATGAGGGCCCGGAACGCCCAACGCTGCAAGCTGCTTCAGCACCAAGGCCAGTATGTCCATTGCCGTCGCATTGCTCTCCACGGTCTGAAGGTCCGACCTTGGATGCCATGTTGAACATCACATGACAATGGTCGTCGTCCTGACCAGCTCACCATCATCACCGAATCATGACCACCAATGGTCGGTTTGTCAGCAACAGCAGCAGTTTCGGCATCACTAGTGGGACGTCAATTGCTTTCTGGACTTGTTGATTACTGCTGGCGGTTGCAGGCTGTGTTATTGCATGGTGTCGCTCGCGGCTTCCCGTCGCCGAGTTGCCGTTGCTTGTTTCTGTTGCTGTTGCTGGCTGCTGCTGCTGCAGCTGCCGCCGCTGCTGCTGCTGTCGTTGTCATCCTTGTTGTTATTGTTGCTGCTAGCAGTTAGCTTCACACTGAATTAATTATCTTGTGAAGCTGTGAAGTCGTTAATCAACAAATGAGTTATCAGCTGTAACTTTAAGACGCCAAATGCCATCACGTCGCACACAAGTCCGAGATGATATTGCTGCTTCAAAATCGCCCAGCCGCAGCTGCTCGGCGTCGGAAACATACATCACCCGGCCCTCCAGAACATGTAACTTCTTGCGGCGCCAAACACTGGCATTCGTTGCATCGCTCCGAAACCCAACACCAAACAGGGACCAGTCGCCACCACTGCCACCGTTGCCGGCCTCTGACGCGGCCAGCGCTAATCCGAGACCCTCCTTCGCGAAGGATTGCATCAATGTCACCACAGCGGCGCCGGTGATGCGCTCTGCCCTTAGCACCGTCTGCTTCGAGATGTCGACCATACTAATCAAACCGAAATCACAGGCGGCGACTGTCGATAGACTGCAGCGGAAGCCCATGGACAGCCTGGACTGCAACGACCACCGGCCAGCCCTGCCCTCTCTCTTCTTGCCAAGCTTCTCCATCTCGAATACGTTGATGTCTTCCTTTGCTTTCAGCGCCAATGCTTTGCTTGCCTGTTCTTTTCTCTTTGCATTGGCGAGCTTCTTGTTCAGGTTCCTCACTTGGGCTTGCAATTGCTGAATACGTGCGGTTTTCTTCTCGGAGGATGTAGTGGCTTGCATCAGCTTCGTGACTAATACAGGCACATCCAACTGCGCCAGCTGAGCACGTTCTGCAGCTGCAGCCTCCCTAAGGTCATGCTGACGTCGGGCTGCTTCAGTTTCAGTCTGCACACCGGTATCACCAGCAGCTGAAGTTCGTCTTCGTTTGCTGCCCTGCCAGAGCACCACTGCCCTGCCCAATGGAGAGTTGCCAGGTGCTCCACTGGCTCCACCATGCCCCGCGTGCACTCCCGACGTTTCGTCACTCTCCAAGTCAATTGCTTCCACAGCGGCCGCTTTTGACACAGGCACCAGAGACAAAGCACCAGCCACACTTTCGTTTGCGCTTACCACACTGCTTTCATCCACATCATCAACAGCCATGATTCCTTGCATGCCGGGCAGCCGATCCATTGCACATGGAATTCCAACCAGCTGGCACACTCGACCAGCATAAAAAATTCCCATGAACGGCTCATGCACAGGATTGCTGTTTGGAATATCTGCCGCCAGAGCTTCAGTCATAGCAGCATTCACTTTGACAGAAACTTGCTGACGAGACAACTTCCCTCCCGCCGACAACAGTTCTCTGAGAGTTGAGGCCACTTGCTCTTTTGCAACAACCTGTCTGCCGGCCAGCTGTATGGTGTTGGCTTGCAGCATGTTAAGAAAAGCATTGCTGGCCAGCAAGGACATTGAGAGCACCAGTGCCCAACAAAAACGGGCCATTGGCGCCACAAGGGAATGCGGCCAACTACACCAAACGACAAGCTAGTTGCGGTATATGACATCTGGACAAGCACGAGATTACAGTTGATATCCAAAAAGCTGCTCAACTATCAAGCATTCTGTCCCATTCGGAGACTTGCGCTACACTGAAATTCGTGTATGAACTTCATCATGGCGCCTCGGGGTGAGGACAGTCTTGCTCGTGTCACGGTCGTTGCCTATGTATGTCATAGCATTCTGAGGTGCGACAAGGGACATGTTTCAAGCGCATTTCCGAACAATCATAGCTAAGTTTCAAGCCTGCGCCTTTGCTATAGAACCCCGGCGGACGGTCGACTCAGAAGTGAGGCATGCCCCGTCTCTCGAGAATGTATTGGTACCCGATGCCACCGCGGACAGGATACAAGCCAACCCCGCCCACGCCGTCAAGCACTCCCCAACCTAGCCAGTGGAACCCTAAAGAGATCAGGAGCTCAGCAGCTTCAGGAAGCCAAAGGGAAGCAGGACTTACACAAGCGTTTCAGGAAACACTTACAGCAGTGCAGGAACAGCAGAAAGCAGCACAGACAGCGTTGGCAGACGCTCACACGAACGCAGCAACGACACTTGAGGAGATAGGAGCATCTCTGGAGAAGGCAGTAAAGGAACAAAGAAAGCCTGGAGAAGTGGAGTTGCACAAGCTAATCAAAAGCCCTGAAGCGTTTTCCCCAGGAACGTGGCAAGAAGAGAAGAGTGGCTGGACAGAGTTCAGGAACAGGATGCGGATCTGGCTTGGAGCAGTAGATTCCAACATGGTGAAGATCATGGACATCGTCGAAAGGAACCTTAAAGACGATAAGATGATAAAGATGAGTGAGATGTCTGGAGAAGCAAAGGAAGCTAGCCGCCGCCTGTACAGTGTTCTTTGTTCATATACCAAAGGAAGGCCTTACCGTGTTGTAAAGCATGTAGGAGAGGAAAACGGTATGGAAGCCTACCGTATGTTGATGAAGGAATACCAACCAACGAATCGTGCAAGATCGTTGGAACTGTTTCACAACATCCTCAACTACAGGTTTGCTCACAACAAAGGAATTGCTGAGAATATCCTCGAATATGAGGAGCACATTGAGAAGTACGAGAAGGCGACAGGAGAAAAGGTACAAGAGAACTTGAAAGTCTCTACTCTTATTCAAGGAATGAAGCCTGATGTTAAAAGGCACCTGTTGCTCAATCTTGACGAGAAGACACAGTACACCGCTCTTCGTCAGTACCTTGTGAACTACGAGTCAACCGAACGTTGGACTAACTCCTTGTCAGCCCAGCAAGGAACACCTCACCGAACCACGACAGACTTGATCGACAAAGGTGATGACCATGGTGGTCTTGCAGCAATGGACATCAATCAAGCATGGTACAAAGGTAGGAAAGGCTATGGCAAAGGTTATGTTCATAACAAAGGCAAAGGTAAAGGTAAAGGCAAGAAAGGTGGAAAGGATTTCGGAAAAGGTTTCGGATTCGACGGTAAAGGCAAAGGTAAAGGAAAAGGTTTTGGAGGTTTTGGCAAAGGCAGAGGTCGAGGCAACTGGAAAGGTCGAGGTAGAGGATTCAGAGGCTACAAAGGCAAAGGCAAAGGTCGAGGAAAAGGCTTCTACAGGCATAAAGGAAAAGGTAAAGGAAAAGCCCAAGCAGCTACAGGAGTTTGTCACTACTGTCACAAGTACGGACACTTCGAAGCGCAGTGTAGACAGAAGCAGCGTGACATGGGTTACCAAGCAAGGAACGTAGACCTAGAGAACCAGAGTGAACAGGCAAGCACCACAGGTACCTCTACTCAGGCCCCTTCTTCAAGCAATAAGACCTCAACGAGCCAAAGCCAAACAAGCCAAGGAACACAAAGACCAGTGATTAGGATGGTCTCCATGTATCACATGGGAGACGAGCCCACAAGCTTTCCGGAGGAATTCGAGATGAGCGAAGATTCAGAGGAAATTGAGATTGAGTACTTCGGAAGAGTCTTGCGGGTTGTTGGTGAAGAAGTTCAGGAAGAGAGAAGTGAGGCAGAAGAGTACTGGATTGGTGATGAAGATGATGAGTTTCAGGACTGTGGTGAGGTGAGTGATGATGCATGGTGGCAGTGGCATGTAGAAGGAAACCCAGTAGGAACTCAAGATCGTGGATACTACTACGAATGCCCCAACGGATGTCATGAAACACCTTGGCACCCAAACATGCAGGAATGCGAGTATGGATGTCACCATCCTCCCAGAAGGAACAGAGTTGAAAGAACAGCACCTTCAGGAACAAACACCAGGTTTGTACGTGCAGCAAGGAACTCAAGGACTCGAGAGATCGAGGTAGTGCTGGATTCTGGAGCCGACATCTCGTTGGCACCAATGTGGATGAAGAAGTACGGAAGGAAAGCGCCCAACACTACTAAGGTGGTTTTGCGAGACGCACAAGGATCTCGTATCAAGGTTTCAGACCAAAGGATCATTGAGGTTGAGTTTCGAGACGTTCAAGGAAATATCGTGAAGGTTGAAGAAGTGTTCTTGATTTCATCGGTTGTGCACCCTCTTTTGGCAGTAGGTAAACTGTTGAAGAAAGGTTGGGAGTTCAGAGATGGAACAACGACAGGCACTTTCCTCACAGAAGGAACAACCAAGATCGCGGTGAACTACAACAACAACTCACTTACGACAAAAGCCTTTGTGAGAGCAGTCAACTGGGAAGCAGAAGCCAAGCCTATTCCCATATACTTGTGCGAGAACCTGAAGGAACTCATTGAAGAGCAACGTGTTGGTTGGACCAACTGGAGAGACCCTTACCAAGTCCACTACAGCTTAGGAACTTCAGAACACGTTGATACCTACTTGATGTTTCCACCAGGAAAGTTTGCGTACAGAGCAGTACTTATTGAGGACGACGATCAGTGGTTTCTGTTGCACCACAGCATCATGTTCGAGGAACTTGAAGAACCATTCGGAACAATCTTTGACGGCAGCAAAGAGTATCGAACACTGACGCTGAATCGCTCAAGGAATTTCCATTGACCCTCATAGGTACACCTAAGGAAGATGAAGATCGCAAGATGTTCGAAGAGTACACTGAGGATGCATGGTCAATCAGCATGGATGGTACGACACTCACTAGGTACCACAACTCGTTGAGAAAGACATTGTTCAATCCTCGAGATACCAACGACATTCCAGTGGATATTGGAAATCTCAAACCAGACAGGTACACCTACGGAGAAGAACCGATCAACAAGGATTTCTTTGAGGATGATAAGTTCTGGACTTTGGATGAGCCTCACAGAGACCCAGAACCACTAGGAGGTTTATCTTGGACAGGACGCAGTGTATTTGAACTCATTGAACCAGTGAACCCCAAGGCCAGGAAACCAAAACAGAAGGTTCACCAACTGGACACGATTCCAGAACAAGAAGAAGAAGAACAGGAAGAGACCTCAGAGGCCCAAGCACCAGCGCACAGACACGAGCTTGCAGGAGAACTGTCATTTACATTCAACGGTCATGAGTACAACCAGCAGAACAGCCTCAAGGCCCTGAAGGAACTTTGCAAGGAACTTGGAGTTTCAAAATTTGGTTCTAAGCAGGACATTCTTAGAAGACTCAGCAGGTCAATCATGGAAGCAGAAAGGCACATGGAGCTTACCTCAGCCCAGAAGAAGTACAAGGAGTACATCGAAGCAGAACCCCTCAAGGTACCAAAACAGCCAAAGCCAGAAGAAGTTGCAGTGCATAATCTCACACACTTACCTTACGCATCGTGGTGTCCTACATGTGTAGCGTGCAAAGGAAAAGAGTCTCCACATCTTCGTGAGAACCCAGAGAAGGAAAGATCTTCGAGACCAACTTTCTGCATGGATTTCTGTTTTACAGGAACAAGTCATGATGAGGCACCAGCAGCAGTTAGTCTTGTGTGTGTTGATCCTTGGAGTAGGAACATGGTCTGTATCCCTACAGCATCTAAAGGAAAGGATCTTGTAGAGCACCTTTGCGAAGGAGTCACCTACTTGAGCACCCAGCTAGGATATGGAGCCATCAACCTGAAGGCCGACAACGAAGGAACGATGATGAAGCTGAAGCAGGTAATCCAGAAGCAACGAGCAGCCTTAGGTCTAGGAACAATCTTGCAGGAAACAGTCAGTGGCCAGAAGGAAACCAACGGCATGGCAGAGAGAGCAATTCAGACCATTAGGCGACAAGGAACTACCTTGATTAGGCACCTGGAACACAAAACAGGAACATATATTGCTCACACCCATCCAATTTTCAGTTGGGCTTTCAGGCATGCAGCGTGGACCTTGAACAGGTACCATCGTCACACAGGTACAGGAATGACACCATATGAATGGATGGCCGGGCGGCCTTACGAGGGCCAACTTGCCGAGTTTGGCGAATCACTTTTGGTTTTGACCAATCGTTCAGGAACACGTGGCAATACGAAAGGCGACCCTATTTGGTTGAGAGGAGTGTTCTTAGGAAAAACAGACAACAACCTCTTCATTACGTGGCACATGGACGGCATCAAGACGAGCCGTAGCGCAAAACGCTGTGTGGAACATTTCGACATCAAAGGAATAAGCAGCGTAGGAATTCATACTTGGGAAGTTAAGCACACTACCCTTACGACAAGGAACATCCCAAGGAAGAACATCCCAGGACCACTTGCAGAGGCACCACCGATCATGGATGGACCCGGAACTAAGGAACAGATTGCTCAGGAATCGGCACCTTCGGCACCATCAGGAGCGGTTGTCATCCAAGGCGGGGACCCTGCAGGAAAACCAGGACCTACTAGGTCAACGTACTTAGAGAACAAAGCCAAGCAAGCACAGAGCAAAAGGAAAGCAGAAGAAGAACTTGAGCAGGAATATCCCGACGAAAACCAAGATGAAGCAGCATCAGACCCAACGTCTTCAGGCAGTAGCAGCAACAAGGAAATGGACGCAGCCTCAGAACCAGAACTCATCCCAGACAGTGCAATGGCCAGCG